ATTATTGGGACATCCTGATAGTAAATAGTTACAGTAGTCCAGCCTGGAAGTGACAAATGCATGGATCAGTTTTTCAGCATCACTTTGAGACAGGATGTTTCTGAGTTTTGCAATATTGTGCAGATGAAAGAAAGCAGTTCTATAGACTTGGTTTATGTGTGATGTCAAGGACATATCCTGGTCAAAAATGCCCCCCACCCCCTCTTTGCCACCCTCCCAAACTTCACCCAGTATGCTAAATGCCACACAAGGGACAATAAAACTCTGGACCTACTGTATGCAAATGCCAGGAATGTCCAATATACTTCTCACATCTCAAAGCACAATACAAGGTAGAAAGCATGTACAAAAATAAAACCCAAAAAAAAGACTGCAGCAGACAAATGCACAGGAATTAATTGCGGGAGTAATATTCTTGTTCTTGATTTCTCTCAAGTGCTATGTTTTGTCTTGTTTTTTAGGTATCTTTGATTTGCTTCTCGGAGGTCCTTATGGTGTTTGTTGTTCTTGTGATGTTTTGTTTGCTCTATTGATTTGATTTTGATTTGATTTGATTTATTCTTTCAAGCATATAAAACAGTTGATATAACAACACACATTTTTACACACAATCCAATATCAATTTGCTTATACCTAGTACATGCTTGAATGGAGTAGGAAGAAGTCAGACTTATTGCTGCTGGAACACTGGAATTTCCCCAATGTGGGATCAATAAAGTCTTACCCTACCATACCATACTACAAATGTGGCCAAAACATCACAGTAAACATTATTATTATTATTAGAGTTCTTAATAAAGATTCCAAAAATACAAATACTAGCTGTAAGTTATGCTATGTCTTTCATATTTGATTTTATCAAACCTACTGTAACACATACAAGCAACATGAAAGTGGTAGTGAAGCCAGGGGTGTTGTCTGAATACAGCTACTCCCACCTACTGGTAGGGGGAGTTATTCCTGTCAAACAGGTGCAAGAGCGTACGTGTCAGTCGGCTGTTGGCTGTAGTCTGTGTGGTATGCTCAAGTGTCACTTTTTTTAGCCTGACTGGCCCAGACAATGGTACAGTGAGGCGGCCCAGCAGTCGGCCTTCGTTGTTGCCAGTTTTTTCTCATTGACTTGGTGTGTCTCTGCCTTTAGTCATGTGAAATTCTATTGTTTCCTCCTTCCCTCCTGTCATCATCCCCCACCCCGCCTCCCAATGACTTATTCAGTAAGGGTTAGATAGAGAAAGGTAAAGGGCAAGACAAGTTAAATAATTCAGTGAAGATCCAATAACAGAATGCTTTCCTGTTTACAATGATGGCAGTGATGAGAACATGCCTCTACCCTGTGTGGTTTTAACACTTCTGCCTTAAATTGAAATCTTAGTTTCATGTATCCACAACATATACTATAAATTTAATGACTACAGTTGACATGACATCACGGTGTCTTCAGTGTGCCACCAGAAAGGCAGTGACACTTAGCCTGTTGATTCCATGATGAATCCTGATACTTTGGTGTCACCTGAGCAGTTAACTCTGTCTGCAGACATTGCTGTTGCATTTAACCACGCATTGCCACTCTCAGTGCTAGCTCTTGTTCGCATTTAGCTGGGCTAGTGCATTTACTCAAAGCCATGGAAAACTTCTGGATGTATCAAGTAGAAAAGTTTGAAGAGGAACAAGCTAATCAGGAGCAGCAGACTGACCAACACGATGGAGATGAGGTGTGGACAGCGTGAAACATTTATTTAGGTTTTTCTATTGGTGTGTTGATGGATTATATTTGTAGCAGTGGTGATATCATTTGTCTCAATGTTATGTTTTTAAGACCAGCTATTTTATTTCACAGCCTTTTGTGAATTCAAGACCAAGAGTGGTGCAGTTAGCTAATAATGTTTGATCCCCATCTTTTGGAAATCAAGATTTAATTGTTTTAACTTTTTAAACAGATATACAGACTTTCTGAATTTCTTTATATCAGTATATCAAATTACTACAATTATTTTAAAGACCCTGCGATGGACCGGGGACCTGTCCAGGGTGTACCCTGCCTTTCACCCGATGCCGGCTGGGATTGACTCCAGCCCCCCAACAAACCCGTTGGGGACTGTGCGGTATAGAAAATGAGATGAGACATGAGATTTTAAAGAGTCAAAAGTAAAATTTTTAAAATGTAGAATGGTACCATTCATAGGGTATTATATTTAATACACTACTAGAATATTATTACTTATGCATTAATATGTAAGTAGCATTTTATTATTGTAACTGGTGACAGTGGAGTTATTTTTTCTACTTTAGAGTTGTAAATAATTTTTGAAGTGAAAAGAAATACACCACCTTTCCTCAAATGGCTAATGCATTGTTACCTTTTAAGTTATGAAATGGGATGAGACAGGAATTGAAAGGAATTGTGTAATTGTGGCATGCACGAGGGTTTAAGTCAGTAATATGTATGAAGTGATAAAAATGAAATTTCCATTAAAAGGAATGATAATTCATTTAGATCACTTCTTTTAAGGACACCATTACAGTGCATGGTTCTTTACTGTGAATTGTATACGAGCACCATTTGTTAAGTGAATATAAAGTCATGATATTGGGATAATGTGCATAAAGAATCCAGGGCCACTCTGGGCTGCTGTCATGCGAGGCCGATGACATCACTGACTACATTGTGATTAGTGACTTGATCTCCTCAGTCAGGATATCAACAGGCCCTTAGAGACTTGATTCACCACAGCATGAATTTTAGGGCAAGAAAAGCTGTCAACAAGATAAACAGGTAATCAGAGAAAAAAAAACATACAAATCTGTGAGACACACACTGCATCTCAGGACCTGGACTAATAAAATTAGAACTATCTACATGAAGATGTGACACTTGAGGGAAGTGAGAAAGTGTGCTTTTAAACCCAACATAAGAAATAGAATGCAGCAATTAAAAATATTAAAAGCAAGAAACTGAACAACACACTGTACAGGTAGACTAAAGTAAAATGTAGGTACTGGCTTAGCCAAATGTAACAGATTTAAAATACAGAGCTTTTGTGAGCCAGAGGCTGCAAGATGCTTCCTACTGGTCTGTTTCTGTATTATGAGATGAGTTGTCCTCGCCTCTACACAGAGGTGATACATTGTGCTGTTCTGCCTCAAAGCTGCCATTTGTCCCATTGTTGTGTCTGTGCACCTTTTCAGCTCACCTCATCACAGCTTGTGTGTCTGATACTTTCAGACTCTGAACAAATGAAGTAAATTGTGTTTTGTAACAACTGCTCTTGATGTTGGCTGTGTGAAGTGCTTGTGATGATTTTAGCAGTCGTGTCTTTCTGCGTTCTGTTGGCATTAAATAGGCTCTAAGGTGGGTTTCACATTTCTACAGTTTGGGTACATCCCACTTCTTTTATTTGGTCATTTCTTGCTCCTCACATCTGGTTTGACCTGGAAGTTGTTCCAGGTCTGTTATCTCAAAGGATGTTTCAAAACACTGATTTGTGTTTTTAAAGAGAATATTGAGGAGAAAGGAAGGAGCCATGATCAAGGATTGATGAGACCATCTTTCACTGAAGTCTTACACTGCACTGACTAAAGCTGGGTATCATTCCAAAATTTTCAAAACTGGTACTGATACCTTGACTTTGATACCAGTTCCTAAATGATACTATTTTTTAATACCAATTTTATAAAATCAGTTTTAACAAAAAAGACAAACAAATATATAGTATGTATATATATAATATATATAGTATAAACAGTATATATACACACACATGCACAACACACATAAATTACACATTTTGGTGCAGATCATTAGTTTTATTTTTCAATTGTATTGCATTTTTGTGCACTCAAAGCAGTTTCATAATATAAAAGCTAAACCTGTTTACCACAACCTTAAGTTGTCATCTGGTCAGTGATAAATAAATACAGAGTGCAGATTTAAGATATTCAAGGAAAGAAGAATATTAAGTAAGTGTGCACCCTTATTGGTATTGTACAATGCATATATAGGCAAATCCAAACTCCATATCAACAAAAGTTGCTACACAACTCTAAATTCTGACTGACAGCTATGCCAGCTGAGCTGCAGACATCAAAAATGCACATAGCTTCAGTTCAGATGGAAGGACATCTTGTTTCTCTACAAACATTTCCAAGTTTCTTTTTCCCTCCTATCTTTTCCTTACATTCCTCCTTCCATCTTCAGAGGGACAAACATGCAAGGATTAATTGATTAAATTACAGACAACTAGAAGACAGTGAAGTTAAGGGAATTGAGGTGCAGCCACAGATGAACATTTAATAACTTTTGTGCTGAGTTCACCGCAAGGAGACTTGAAATAATGTATTGAGAAGCACCCACAGATATTGCACCTAACAGCCCCGGTAACCTGGAAGGCAATGGACTGACAAAGAAAAGTCACAAAGTCCACACACTGCTGTTTTCTGCCCTAGAGTTCCTTATTTGCTAACAACAGGAAGGAGAACTAAAAGACTGTTACATCTTAATCTCCAGCAGGCATCACTATTGTTTGCTGAATATGGTCCAGAACAGCCTGAGAAAAGTATCACCCAGAGAAACTGTCTTTGTTGTTTTGGCTCCAGAGCAAAAACAATGAACAGAAAGACACATAAAACCTCCTCAGAGCTGAAGAGAACTGCAGAGTTCAAGTGCAGATCAGGGCATCTTCAGTAAGCTAGTCTGTGATGTATCAGCGCGTGCTCTCACCCTTACAGTATGTAGCAGTGACTCTCCAGCTGTCGCACATCACGTTTTAGTCACACAGTTTGACTTAACAGCTGTAGTGATCAGAGTCGCTACAAATACTTCACCTGTTTAATGCTGACAGTATACAAAATAAAGTTTTCTGTAGAGTTCCATTTTGTTCATTCATTTGGGGTTTATTCCGCAACACATGGTACATTTGCATTAAAAGTGGTGCTTGGTTCTAAATTAAGGATTTCAATTCACAGACTGTATTTTGTGCCCATTCCCTATTCTGTCCTTGCAGTCTCCTGGTTCAGGCTCACCCTCTCCTCCAGGAGCAGAGTCATCCAGCAGACACCTGCTGCAGGATGACAGCTTGGAATCTTCTCCCTCCAGCAAAGAGGTGTGTTCAGCATTATACTATTCATTTGGTATTCACTGCCCTGCAATAACTGCCCTGTGTCTCATTTTCTACTTCTCTGCATCAAGTTGAAGTAAAGTTGGAAAAAGTCTTAATAGTCTCCTTTCTTTTTATTCATAGTCTAGGAGAAGCCTTGCATCCTTCCCCACATATGTAGAAGGTAAGTGCCTCTGGTGCACAGGTTTACAAACTGTGAAGGAAGAACTGAAGGAGAGGCATGACAGGAGATAGTGTGTGAGGTGAAAGGGACCGCTGCATACTGGCTTTCTGAAAAAAAAGGGTAGTTAGTTATTGTAGTTTTTCTGATAAAAAAAAAAGGGTAGTTAGTTATTGTAGTTTGACCGCTCACAAGCATAGTCAATGGCTGGAGCAGCAGCAGCGACTATGACACAGCTCAAAGGTAAGATTGATGAACTTAAGGTGTTTTTCTTATCATAACATCAAACTATCAAAGTCAAGAAGGCTGCTAGTGTGTGATTGTTTTGAGGGCCCATTAATTGGTCACATTATTTAGTTAATGGTGGTGGTACTGAAATAAATGTGGTTGAGGTATCAAATGAGTTAATTTTTTGTAAACAGTGGGCCTAATCATTAAAACGTATTAAGGCACACAATTCAAGTACAGTAAATATTGTAGTGCATGGAGTAAAATTCAACAGTCAGTAGATCTTGGTTATGTGTTTTAGGTGAAAAAGAGATTATGGTTGTTGTAAATAAAAGCAAGAGCCACACCTCAGCTGGTTGTGATGGGACTAATAATGCTATTGTAAAAATGTGTTAGATTTCCATATCAACAGTGACTTCAGAAAGTGTTCAAAGGTACAGTAGATGTGGCTCAGAGCAGGTCATCCATTATAACAGGGTTGGCAGTTCTGTCCCCAGTTCCTCTAGTCCACATTCTAAAGTTGTTCCTAATGGCCCAGTCCATCCTCTCCTCAATACGGTGCAGTCGTCCTGCTCCATCACCACCAGTGTGTGAGTGTGTATGTGAATGGGTGATTGAGAGGCAAATTTGTAAAGTGTGTTGTCTATTAAGGTAGAAAAGTGTGATTTAAATGCAAGATCCCTTCATTTTTGCACATTTTATTGTGTATTAGATTTCATTTTAATTGAAAAATAGACATATTTTCCTATCAATCTACAATCAATAACCCATAATGATGATGTGAAAACATGTTTTGAGAAAATTTTGTAAATATATTAAAGGATAAGCCGGTCACTTTATATATTAACAATATTTTCAACAATCTCCATACTGAGACTAAAAACACCAATGAATTACCTCTACTCAGGTTAATATCTGTCAGCCTGTAACCTGGATTAGCTTGTTCATTTGTGCCACAGACCTTCACTGTTGCTCAAAAACTATTAAAAACACATCAGTGAAACACACTGCTGCACTGGGTGACATGTTTCCAGACCTGCATATTTGTTAAAAATGTTCCCCCAAAAGCTTCAAATGATGATACTGGCCTTCAAATACTGAAGGCCAGTATCATTATGTGGACACAAGATACAGTAATGTTTATGTATTAAACATGGTTTAGAGCTGGAAAATGATTAATGATACTAACTTCATTTTATGGTTATATATTGCTCTAAACTACACACTGTTTGTTAGCTAGAAACACAGATGGTAATGTTTTTTAATAACCGTTAACTGCGACTGTAAATGCCAAATCACCTTTTCTGCCTCTTTTTATGGTTGTGTTACCGTAGGTGAAATGCCAAGATCATTGCCTGGAAACCCAGACAGAAGCTTTAAGTCACATAAGCACTACAACACCAACATGCTCACAAGCTTTTAGCAAAGAGAATCAGAGCACCTGGCCTATATATTCAGTGTTTGCTACTGTATATTGACTCTCAGTCCCCAGTGATTCTCTGGTAATACAGAACTTATTGAACTGCACTGCTGATCTAAGCCTGCAATGTAAATCAGTGATTTCTCTCAGGGACACACACCGTCATGTTTCTATTATCTCATGCAACATTACAATGTTTTACAGTCATTTCCTTGAGACTAATCCCTCACCCTGACCTTAACTGTAACCACTACTTGCCTAACCCTAAACTTGTGTGTTATTTCGCCTGACAGTAACGTAAACCTAACTTTATTTGAAAAAGAAACTACAGTGGGGGAAATAAGTATTTGATACACTGCTGATTTTTCAAGTTTTCCCACTTACAAAGAATGGACAGAATCTACAAAAAATTCCCGAAAATCACATTGTTAGATTTTTAAATAATTTATTTCCAGTTTATTGCATGAAAAGTATTTGATACAATAGAAAAATAGAACTTAATATTTGGTACTGAAACCTTTGTTTACAGTTACAGAGGTCAGACGTTTCCTGTAGTTCTTGACCAGGTTTGCTCACACTGCAGCAGGGATTTTGGCCCACTCCTTCATACAGGTCTTCTCCAGATCTTTCAGGTTTTGGGGCTGTGGCTGGGCAACATGGAGTTTCAGCTCCCTCCATAGATTTTCTATTGGGTTCAGATCTGGAGACTGGCTAGGCCACTCCAGGACCTTGAAATGCTTCTTACGGAGCCACTCCTTAGTTGCCCTGGCTGTGTGTTTGGGGTCATTGTCATGCTGGAAGACCCAGCTATGACCCATCTTCAATGCTCTTACTGAGGGAAGGAGGTTGTTGTCCAAAATCTCACGATACATGGCCCCATCCATCCTCTCCTCAATACGGTGCAGTCGTCCTGTCCCCTTTGCAGAAAAGCACCCCCAAAGCATGATGTTTCCACCCCCATGCTTCA